TGTCAATCAAGCTCTTAATAGTATGTATGTGTTAACTTGATCCTTGTAGGTATGTTATATTGTGAACCCGGTGACCAAATTATTAGAGACGTCCCTATTTTTATAACCTCAGATCAGGCATGTTAGATATAAATGTAGCCAAGACTAGCCTGTGATGTGACAGAATGTTGCATAACCTAGAAGATAAACTGTACTATATAATAATTCAGCGAAGATGCCTATAATATATAAATGATTTGTTGTTTAATAATTTGAATCCCGACTCCTAGGTAAAGCCACATTTTATCAATTGTTGAGTTAAGTAAGTCTTTCCACATGAATTACAATACAACAAACCCACTTTAAACACACCAGTTAGTAATCTAGCGAGCATATGCCAGACATTGCCATCGGCAATAATCAATGGCGTGTAACAAACGCGTTAACTGTGGTTCGTTTACCATCCGGAATTGAGTCGTCCTAACAAGATTGTTATTGAAATGCGTCAGTCTGTTGTCGAATCGTATGGATTGAAATTTTTATTCAACTACTACAATGAATGTGGTGTTCTCAAGTACGACAGTCTACACATATGCTTCAACTTATTTTTGATAAATGTGTTTTCCCGATGACGTAGTAGATTTTAGTCTGAATCTCATACGTGCTTATATGACAACAAGAAATAGTTTCTTTTTGTTTATTTCAGTAGCAGTAGTATTTGTTTCAGTGAACGTCATCAAAAGTCAATATTTGTTCACCCTCACCCACTCAAATAGACCTACAAATATCTATCAATCGAACTACGACGGCTAGACGTTCGAGTTCTGTCGAGTTACTACACGTTCCTGTAAGATGTGGAGTTGATTGATGTAAATTTGGATTAACACCATATGGTGGTTGTATGCGGTGTATACAAACTTTGAACAATCGTACAAGCTAGCGACGCATTCAGACATGCTACGTCAATTATTGAGCCGTTAGATCTGTGTGAACTAAAACGGGATTCCACACGCATTGTATACGTCGCATTAGACCCCAGATGTGGTAAAACAAGGGATGCTTTAACGGGATATTACCACCCGAGTCACAAACATTATACTTCATACCTAGAACTTAACCAATCATACAGACCATTGCAGCGATGTGATTAAAAATTGGAAAATTGGATATCGTGATATACTTGTAATCAATCATTTACGACACGCTACAATGATGACACGTAATTAACCATGCTGTCCATGGTGAACGAAACACACACAGTAGACAACACTATTGTTTAAGTATGCATGTGTAATGAGGTTAGTATAGTTAGAAAGATATATGCTTTTTTTAAAAATTATTTCGGAATATGACGGTCTTAGGCCCGTTATAGAATACAACTATTTATTATTTATAATTAGTTGTTTTATAAGTTGTACAACCTGAACTTGCTTTTAGTTTGTAATATTTATAAATTTTGAAAACGATGGTTAGAGTTTGACATCCTTATGACGATTGTTTATGGAGTAGCGCCATACGGAAATGATAAGCCTTAGAGGATGACTTTAATGTCTAAGAGGATCTTTCACTGATAGTAATTGCAACCCAAGAGACAACATCAGGGCTGGGCAAACAGTGAAACACTTCCCACCTCAAGGCAGAACGAATATTCTTTGGCCTAGATGGTCCCGACGAAATGATAAATGGGTAACTATACATTATATAATAAGGTTATGATGCATTCACCCGCTGGACTCAATGTGCACTTCCTCGCAACAAGGGCTATTTTGAAGGCATGAAAATGGTTAAACTCAATTCCTGATGCAAGAAACCTATGGCCATGACATGACTCAGAGAGGCCCCATCGTGGAGGGCCAAGGTAGTATAGAGGTAATGCATAGGCATTCCCAGAAATCTTTGAGACAGGGTTTCCTTTCAACTAATGGCAATTTTGATTACTTCAACTGTCCACATGGGTGGAATTAACAGCTAGCTAGTGTTGTTGTTTTCTCTCTCTGTGGAGCTACAGTTCTTAAGAGTGTTTTCAGTCCTTGCCAATTAAACTGGGGTGCTGTATTTTATACACTCAGATACACTGGGGATATCCAACTCAATATGCGACTCGATGGAAAGGATAATGATAACGATTTACTTATTAAGGTAACCTTTGACCTGCTCTCACACAGATCCAACAAAATAATTTGTCAATATTGGTACTTTCCAACTGCGGAAGTGACATGTTTTTGTCCTCTGTCTGGGGTAGATTGAGATTCCCAAGTAAGGTCTCTACTATTACATCAGTACACTGATTTTCCAGGAATTTGGTTGACAGACACATGGAAACGAATGACTCAAGGCTGTATACAGTCAGGAACCGTGCTTCTATGCTGTATAATGAGGCCATGAATTACAACATCGGATTTCCCTTGGTTGGCATTAAACAAATGTGTATAATCCCTATAGTCAGTTCATTCTCTGTGATGAATATGCATTTGTTGGCTTTCAAGTTCTCTTGTCTTGCTTACTATTGTTAATAAACTTAGGGTGTCTTTCAGTCTTAGTATGACAGCGACAGTATGTGGATACTTCTTGTTGGCTACACCAGTGAGATTACCATCAAATAACTCATCTGAACAACGAAATCACATGTAAAATCTTGAGAAACCATAAGAGATGTCTTGATTCGCTGCCGCTCACCACGAATACGCTTCCATAAATGGCGGTGTTTCTGGTCACATGCAAACAACTTCCCTTCAATAGCAATGATGGTGAAATATGAAAGTACAGTATTCAATGTAGGACTACAATGAGGGCCCTGTCAATTGTCTGGTGTGCATGATAAAACATGATATCATTCAGGAATCAACATATCGGGAAAATTGCTGTGGTGGCAAGTATCATTAATGAACACTATATTACCATTAAAGAATATGTAATAAACTTAAATTGCTACCCCATCAAGTGAGAATGTAGAGAGTGTGGGGATGATGTGATTCTCAGTGAAGGAAGGGGTAACATTTCCTTGACTGTTATGATTCTAGAAAACTGTGTGTCTGGCAAACTATGTTCGTTCACTGACTGTTGAGTAACACCAGACTGAATTAGGATATTAAAAATTTGTTATGAAATGTAGTGAAACAATGTGTCTGGTAATAGGGCTGTGAACGGACATGAACGGTGAGGCAGTGAAATCTGAATAAACATCGGCAACTCGGCGGATAATACACGTGACAAGCCAGTGACCATATGCTGTGATATGTGATCGCGGATTCTGCAGACTTGAACTTGCAGTTTTTTGATGTAGATACTTGGTAAGTGGACTTATGTTGACACTGCAATGGAGTAACCCATATACTGATGTTTATTGTTACGCTCGCATCAAGATCCAACACCCAAGTCACACCATTATCAAAATCACTACAGCTCCTACCACAATGCATACGTATGGTATAATGGTCGTATGCACATTACATCACTGACAACAATATTGAGTGAAAACTTTTACAAGGACACCAATATAAGCAGTTGGTCATTAGGACAATTCGTTCGTGTAAATTTCACGATAAGCATTTTTGATGAAGTTCGTGAAACCGAATGTGCTAAGATAGTGAAAGACCTTTACGGCAAATTTATTCACAATTAGAAAATTGTAAGAACTACAGTGGTGGCGGCGGTCGGCGCTCATTAATTTAGAGCTGAAATTGAAATGTACTTGCCTGGCGGGCCTCAGCCTAATGCCTTTAGACTAGGCTGGTATTGTTCTAAGAAATATTGTTTAATCGGATCTGAAGTAATTCTGAAATAAACGACCTAATGATCGAAATATTTTCTCTGTTCCCAGAGCACAGTCTGTTAATAATAAGTGCATGCATAGTTGTACAACCGTTATAGAGGAGAAACCTTGGCCTTGTTCACATTCTATTCAATTGTCTCAACATCCCATAAGGATAAGTTGAATAGTGCCCAAGTTTTGGATTCATGAACTCTGGCTTTAAGATATGTCTATGAGTGTTTCTCTAAGTTCACGAATTGAACTAACCTAATATAGGTCCGCCCAAGTCACGTGCAATTGGGGTAAAGATTTTCAAGAAGAAATCAATAAAAACATTTTTGACCAAATATGACAAGTATTCGCTAAAATTACAGAACGAGAAATATTCAAATGTATCTCAGTGTGACTCAGTATCAAACCAATCGGAAAATAGGCCTTCTAGAAGAAGTCGACAATAACATTTTTGACTAAAAAGTACAAATATATTCATTAAAAATGGTGAATTAAAGATATTGGATTAGCTGATTTCGAAAAGAAGTTTTCAACACAAATATTCATATTCTAAACATCTCCACTAAATATTAAAATCTAAGGTGCATCATCGAGCCAATTGGTGTAGACATTTTCAAGAAGTCAAAAATTTTACGTCTTACCAACAAGTACAAATATCTTCTTAAAAATAGCAAACGTTACGAAATGATAAAATTTAATAGAGGTTATTTTTATATATTTCTAAATATTTAAAACTAAACGGATGTCCAGGTTGTATGACTTATATATCACAAATAAAAGAAGACAATTTGCATGATTATCTAATCGTTACTAATATGCATATTTACGTTATTTCCAAGGCATTCTACAAGTACATTAACTTATATCGTAACTCCAACAAGAAAACGGATCCAATGCTATGTTTCGCGGTTTACTATTGTCTAACGTGTCACGTACCACTATTTACGGCCTGACAATGAACGGACCCCAGCGTCAAAGTGATCATATTTAATATGTTAATCAATCATAATATATAGGTCGTAAATTTTACAAATCCGTAGTCAAGAGGATAAAATGATTCAAAACAACCTAATAAACCTGTCTTTAAAAAAATTATGGTATGTCGTAAAAACTATGTAGTCGAGCAAACCAATATTATTTGCTCGGTTTTATTAGGGGTAAAAAGATACAGAATATACGAGACAAAATATAGAAATGTTACTAATGGCTGAACAGTGCTTGAATAATTATTATATTGAATAGGAGATGATTAGCTTACCCTTAGGTCACCCAGCTCCGGTTGCCCTTGAAATTCTTGTTCCATTAGCTCTCGCGTTTCATCCGACAAGCACCCGCCGAATAACCCTGATACATTGGCCCATGATCCACCAATGTTACAAAATCGCGTAGCAAAGTCTGTAAAATAAACGAAAGGGAGAACACTAAATACAAGTAAACCCAAAACCTGAATACATTAAGGGCAAATGAAGCTGGCAACTGTACTCGGCAACTATAATGTTTTGCTAGGGACATAACGCGTAATGAAGAACATTGCGACCCTCGGGTATGTTAGGTACAAAAAATGGCGCCAACGGCCATTCTCCCTTGTGATTGCGTATATGGCGCTAACGGTCACTCTCTTTTATCATTGCGTGTGAGACGCAACGGCTATCATCTCTTGTGATTGCGTGTACGACGCTAACGGCCATTCTCGGTTATCATTGCCTGTAAGACGCCAACGGCTATTCTCTCTTGTCACTGCGTGTACGGCGCTAACGGCCATTATCTGTTGTGATTGCGTGTACGACGCTAACGACCATTCTCTCACACCATTGCGTGTACAACGCTAGCGGCCATTCTCTGCTGTGATTGCGTGTACGACACTAACGGCCATTCTCGGTTATTACACTAACGGCCATTCTCGGTTATCATTGCCTGTAAGACGCCAACGGCTATTCTCTCTTGTCACTGCGTGTACGGCGCTAACGGCCATTATCTGTTGTGATTGCGTGTACGGTGCTAACGGTCATTCTCTCTTGCCATTGCGTGTACGACGCTAACGGCCATTCTCTCTTGTCATTGCGTGTACGCGCTATTATCAAGAGGACTAATTTTGAAATCAGAAGATTACATTTGCTAATTTTCCGATCAATGTCATATAATGAATGTCCAAAAACGGCAAAGCAACTATTACATGTGCCCAAGTTATTGATGAGTAACCCATCACAATTGTGTGAGGTTATTAGCAGTACACTTTCGTATACCATGTCATGGTAAGTTTTTAGACGAAGTTAAAAATGAATACGCATATTACAATTCACAGTTGACGATTGTCATCTACGACACGTGTATAACTCGGTCTACAATTACCGTGTAAACACCACGGAATGATAGGAGACCACGGTAATTTGGCCAAAATAAACAAGATAAGAACGGTTCAAATTTATCATGAGATGAAGTCAGGTAGAGAACTGAACTTGTTGATATCTCTGTTGATTCAGTGATTTGTGATGTCATAACGGAGCGCATAAGCTCTGAACAAACTTACTGCCGAATTTGTTCACACATGTTATTACCCCATAGAACCCAATAATGTATATTTTGTGTATCATTTATCAATTTTCAATACAGCTAATAAACACATGTTCCACTAATCAGTCAAAAGTACAGTGACATTACTTTGTATATGGTTATTGCATTATATACGTGTATCGGAACGATAAGTAAGACCTTGTAAACAGATGTTAAATATGCAAATGCAACGCATTAAATATGCAAATGCAGCGCACAACAGTATTCTTTCAATTGAATTCTATAATGCTGTCGGGCAGTGCATTGAACCAATCAGTACACATACGAATACTTGGTTCTGTGCTGCAAGAACAACGTTATTATCACTGAAACTGAATTTCTGAAATGTTTCAACATTATTATGATTCGTATCATTAATAACTAGTATAATACTATATTATCAATAAATATTAGTATATGACTATTGACATTTCTGACTTTTGTTTTCTAAAATTTGTTTTTCATTTACGTCATTATAATGGTCTAAAGTTGCATTACGTTCTATTTATTCAGCCTTTGTACAAGTACGGTGAATTTGTTGTATACTTACGATTTGTATCAAATGCAAAGAAATCTGGACAATTCTCTGACACGGAATTGTTTTCCGGCGTATTCGGCCAACACACGCCATCAAAATGAACTATTACCTCCCAGAATCCATCGCAGTAAGTTCCTAAATTAAAGAAATGAGAAATAAAAGAACTTAAAATATTAAAGTAAATATATTAAATGTTGAGATTTTTAGTATTAATAAAGACAGGAGTGTATTTTGTTGACGCAATTTAAAATTCTGTCTGATCGCAATAATGAATAATTAATTGTAAGTATTTGAACATACTACATGTAGTAATATGATATCTCCAGTATCAAGTTACTCTAGATAATTATCCGAAAGGAAAGATAATTTACAAAATCGGATTTCTAATTTGTATTCTATTTATAAATATTAAAACTATAAAGGTTGTACTTCCCGTAAAAAAACAAGTAAAAATCATGTTATTCAAAAAAAAAACAATTTCCAATGATAATCATATAATGTATATTTAATCTAATTTGTAATGGCCATTATAACATATTCTAACAAGCACTGATTTGAAAAAAAAAAGCTAAACCACTGCTGCTCGCGGTAGATCAAACGTTTCATGGCAATTCCGCATAACACATATTACTCCTGCGGGTAACGATTGATTTTTTTGAAAAGAAATACAAAAATCACGTCTTAAGCTATGATTGCACGCATCTATGTCAGCGCGGCGAGTAAATCTGGCGTAGAACGATGTCGATTGGAGACCTTAATAATACTGATTGTTATCATTATATTTCTACCCATCACCATCAGCTACGGATGTTTTTGCAATAAAGTCATATTTTACCGTCTCCATTTTACGAAATTGCATAAGGTGAAAGTTACAAACTTCTTAAGCAGGCTACTGTTATATTCATTATAATAAGGTTTTATTTTATGTGTTCACAACTAAAAGGATAAAAATATATGATCACCGAACTATTTCTCACACAAAACATTGTGTCAAACATCCATGGAAATGTGAGATTTGGAGCATAGAATGTCGAAGGCCTATGCCCAGAACATCTACTACGCAATGTCTGAATAAAGTACGTATTGCAATAGCTTAACTTGAATACGTTCTAATACTACTATGATTTCTGGGATATATTCAAATATAGTTAGTGGGTTAAACGTTATCTGATCACGTGGTCGTGTTTTACCAATGGCTGCGCATCGTAAGGTAACTACGGGTATGAGCTTGATTGAACTTGAATTGCGCTATCATTAAGTGCGGGCAATTCACCCTAATCAAGAAACAAATTATTTGTCCGACAATTTCATATAATTAGAGTAGACCCAACAAACTAAATTGATAGCTCTTCCTAGTAATACGACTTGACATGTGACTGCAACTATCGCTAAAAATTTAAACTTGAATAAATTGATTCTTTTATAACTTAACATATATGATACTAAAAATGATTCAATATTGAATTTATATTCAGTTTTCAATGAAATATATTACAATTTTTGAAATTAATACTGTAAAATGTTTATTATCCCGTGTGTAAAATTATACTACCTCTAGAAAGCTATCTGAAATGCGTCAATGAACAGCTCCTAGCTGATAAATGTCACATGCTTTCCTACAACATTGTGTGTGTGCGGGCAACACAAATGTATGTATTATTTAGTGCTCAGCGTGACCTGGACATTATCCAAAATAGTCCCGTGTGTATTTATCTGCATGTAATGAACTTGGCAACAGAGTTTAAAGCTTTTCGTAGTTTCCTGTGTACTGATAATAGCTTTAGGATAGTGTATTGCTTATCGGGTTGTCTTGCAGATATAATAAGTCTGGCGATTGAAGGGAATTCTTCTTCACTGAACTTTAATTTGTATACGTAAACCGAATCAACGATCATGAAGGGCGGTGAGAATGCAAAAGGTATCGACATGCTTTCCTGTCAAAATAAATTTGATCAGAAAGAGAAGTTGATTTGCATATGCAACATTTTGTAATCACCATATTACCCATATCCATTTGCTGTGACTGGCCGGAAAAAAACAGTCGCTGACATCAAAAGATAATGGCGTGTTTCCGGTTAATAAAACAGCGTTTGGGCAACCTTGAGTAGAGCAGAGCGAGGGTTGATCCATGTACGTATTTTTTTTTCAGGCGTGCTCGTGCTGCTTGGCCAAAATGCTGACAAACGTCGCGAGTGTGCGCCAGACATTGGAAAGGCGTAGATTATATAAATACAAATTTACCGACCTACTAGTTTCTTATATGTATATGGTCATGTTTTTTGTTTTTTTATTTCTAATCGTTTTTACAATGCTCGTGATATTCTACTGTCTGTGGTGTAACATGTTTATATAAGTAATGCTCGCGATGTTATATTGTCTGTGGTTTAACAAGTTTACAAAAACAATGCTCGTGATGCTCGGCTGTCTACAGTGTAATCCGCTGACACAGGCAATGCTCGTGATGCTCGGCTGTCTACAGTGTAATCCGTTGACATAGGCAATGCTCGTGATGCTCGGCTGTCTACAGTGTAATCCGTTGACATAGGCAATGCTCGTGGTGTTCCGCTGTATATAATGCGATCGCCGTGACAATAAACCAAACAAACATGAAGATAGTATATCGTGAGTAAAGACTGTTCTCTATATAGTTACTATGCTCAGATAAGCCATCATCATCAGTTGAAACACAAGTGAAACATGCGTGGGTACTATCCGCATAACCGCATAATAGTTTCACTCCTTATTTAGAAGTACAGTTTCTATATTTGGAAATAACTTCAAACAAACAGAATATAAGTACAAGGTCAGTTGCACACTGTCATTTGCAGTCAGGATCCTAGTGATAAAAGTGCAAAATACGGTGTAAACTAGAGATGACGGTATGGTAATAGAAAATGAAGCATAGAACACGGAGATATAGTCACATAGCAGACGTATATACGTACATTAATGTGCCTTTCTACGGAAACTCAAGACCTATTTTTATTATCGTAAACTGATAACTCAATTCGGGTGGCATATTTCTATCGGGTGGAATGTTTTCCATCCGGATGGCATACTTTTATTTGCGTGGATTATCTCTATAGTTTGTTTTCAGTATCACTGCATCCTCGCTTATGTGTGTAGTAATACCTTAATGAGTTGTAACAGCCCGAAATGCCTACGTAATGTATACGTGCCTACACCTTTATTTGCGTCTAATGACGTGATTGTTGCTCAGTGATATGCTATATTGTTACTTTGTCTGGTGTGAACAAAGAAAAGAGTATGAATGTGACGTAAACATGACGCACATGTTCCAAATAAGGAAGACTTTCGAACACGTCCATGACACTTTTGAGGACGGCCTTAAGGTGTTTTACGGACGGCTGAATTTTATTGTTGTCGGTGTCAGATGTATAATAATGCCCGTTACGTAGAAAATAAGGATAAGGGGTTAATTCATTGGTGATATAATTTCTATTATCGGACAGCTGAAATTGAAACAGTCATATATCGATTAACACACGATCTCACCCTTCAGTTCACTTCCATTTAGATCTGCATAAGGCGATAATTCTATTGTTCGGATTCAAATCCCAATCAGTGAAACGATAGCGAGGAGATTAGATTGCAGCAGTCTATCATTCATGCTTTTACGTAACATGCTTTACAATCCGATTTAATCCACTTTAAGGCAGAGGAACTAATTTCCTTTACACCAATCGTGTCTGCTCAAAGCCTATCGTAATTTCATATCGTCCATTACTCGGTTGTTTGCTATAAACGTATCTACCAATTGATAGACGATTAAGCTGTAGTGACACCTGACACGCTGTATTTATTATAAAACATTACTTTCAATATTGAAAGAAACAGATCAATAGAAACACCGACAAGCGATCGTAAACAGTAAGAATTTGGATTTATACGTGATACCCCTAACTCAAGAAGGCCATATGCTATTAACGTATGGCCCTTTTATAAGCCCCTTAGACCCTGCACATCACGCTAAAATCACGTGATTTATCACCGCACTGCTATACAAAGTGTTACTAATTCGCCGTTAATCCCCCGTTATTCATCACATTCGACATTCGTTAAGTTCGCTTCTATTTAAATCTACGAGATCACTGATCACAACAGTTATTTAATGCTCTGTGTACAGTGATAGCTGACGTGTGCTACCTCAAAGATGAAGTTCAATCTTATTATTTTCTTACTATCTACTTGCATAATGCGTGATTAATGTCGACACGATTGACTGGCTCAACGACAAAGAGTCCAAGCACTCTTATTCAATAATTACGTGTATTCCCCCAAACACTAAGCGAGCCACTTCACAAGCCATGGTCGATTTGTATGTGCCACATATCGACTTTGATATAACAACTTTGGTAAATGCAGCTGACTTGAAACTATCCAAATATTAAACACATATTGATGGTTTTCTGTATCATTGTTGTAATTTAGAGCAAGGAACTCACTTAAAAAACATGTTATTTGCGTATTCAGAGAACCGGAATCACTTACTAGTTCAGTTCGGCAAACCGGTAATTCGCCAAATCTGTCACATAATTCGACTTACGCAAGCAGGAATCGTTGCACCTAAGTACATTTCATTGCCCGTGAGTGATTAAAAGTGAATCTGATACAACATTTGCTAACATCCACTAGACCTAGGTTTGTCTAGATTTGAGCTCAACATTTGTCATATATATATGATCGTTTGGTATTGCTACGTTTTTTGAAACGGGATGTGGAGCAGGTTAGCACATTATATTGCATAGTTCTATCTGCAACATTCATGTTACAAAGTTACGACATTATGCTCCCCAACATATTTTACTGTTGTTATACAAAACACTAATTGAACCCCATATCACCTATGGATTAGAAGTCTGGGGGAACACATATCCCACAAATTTGAAAAGCATTATAACAGCACAAAAATGTTCTCTGATTTTACTGCCCATATTTTCAAAAAACTTAGAATTCTTGATGTCTCTAAATTGTGCACATATTCAATTTGTAATTTTGTATATGATATTATTATATTATGGTAATTTTTCACATTATATGTAAACATACAACTTTAAGTACATTTAGTACTGTCACAATACAGGACAAAGGCACTGGCGTGACTTACTTGTTCC